AGATTATTTCCCTCCTGTATGTAAATTTCCTTGTGGCATTTTAATGCATTTACTTTTGAGTCATTTTTTTGATGGACAGAATTACTACAAATACAATTCTGCTGGAAAGGAAACATTCTCCTGTCTCCCTGACTATGTGTTTCTGAGACTGAGAGTCTTAGTCATTTTCCAAGTCAGCCGAGCCTCTCATTCATCTCCAGCCTTACAGCAATTACACTAGATGGCAGAGGAATTGTTACCAGATAATATCTTAGAAACAGGGAAATTATGAGCTAATTTCAGCCATCTCAAATTAATGAGAATGTTCTTTGTGGAGCGCTACCAGTGTAAACCTATTTTTAAAAAATGACAAGTGGAAGATACTTAAATCCTCTATCCGTAGAGCTCAGGGTTGGCCCTGCCAGCACATCCAGTGGCCATTATCTGGCCATTTGCTGGGTTCACTCTTTAATCTTCCTTGTAGGCTATGTTAATTAAATTTCCTCTAGGTTGGACAGTCATCAGCTACCAATGTGGGTGGACAGGGAGATGATTGAGGTTCTAAGTGATATTACTTGGTCTACAGAAGTGCTATCTGGACCAGGAGGGGCCATTCCACTGGGTAATAACTGTTGCCCGGGCTGCATTGTGATGGGTCAGTGACTCATCATAGCGTTTGAGTCTTTGATCTTGTTTTATTAACTTGAAGTCATTTTTCCCATGTGGGCATGGCCAAAGGCTGTACTTTAATGTGGCTGACTCCAATCAGTTGATTCTTTTGATGTGAAAGTGATTTCCCCCTTTTCCATGTCTTAGACCTTGGTGGGGAGGTGGGGATGGGGGAAGCCCGAAGGTTTCTGCACACTGCTCTGGGTCTGTTGGGCATCTGATGAATCTACTTTTGGTAGTCCCCCTACACAGAGAGCTGTCTCCCCACTACTGTACCTCCAACTCCTCACCAGGGACAGGACTGGCACCTCTTCCTGAAAGCAGAGTTTAAGGAAGGGCTTGCAATGACACCTTAACGTAAGACAGAAAATTCAGTTGTCCATATTTAAGAGTCGGAAAGAGTGGAGCTTGCAGGTGATGAAGGCCAGATAGGCTTGTGACTCCAGCCTTACCTGTTGGTAGTACCACTTCCTCACCCACTCCTCAGGCCTCAGACACTCCTCCTCGCAAAAACACAGCCCTTCCAGGCGATCTCTTCCTTCTAAATTAAACTTTGGCCTCTCTCTGAGTTAGGATTTTGACCAGAAGATTCTCTGAGTTACTCTGACTTTGGGTAGTTTCATTTCCTCATGCATGAACTTCCTCAGCTGTAGAGTAGAATTATTAAGAGACCTCACTCCTGGTAGTTATGAGCCCTGAAGGAAAAGCCACCAAGCCCTTGACCTCAGTGCCCAGGAGATACTTGTGCTGACTGCTTTTATGTCAACTTGACACTGGCTAGAACCACCTGAGAGGATGGAACCTCAATTAAGAATATGCCTCCATAAGATCCGGCTGTAGGCAAGCCTGTAGGGTGTTTTCTTAATTAGTGATTAGTGGAGGAGGACCCAGCCATCCCTGGGCTCTATAAAAAAGCAGGAAGCAAGTCATGGGAAGCAAGCCAGTAAGCAGCACTTCGTCATGGCCTCTGCATCAGCTCCAGGTTCCTGTCCTGTTTGAGTTCCTGCCCACAGTTCCTTCAATGGTAAACAATAATGTGGACGTGTAACCAAATAAACCCTTTCCTCCCCAACTTGCTTCTGGCTATGGTGTTTCATCGCAGCCATAGAGACCCTAACTCAGACAGTGCTGGTGAGCAGGGCCACAGCCGTCTTGCAGCCGGATGTGTGAAATACAATTTTCACCTCCCTCTAATTCTCTCCCCTTACCACTGGACCCAGTGCAGCTCTTCAGTGTGCAAATGCCCCACTCGTCTGAGGCAAAGCTGCCGATGCTCACAGTGCTGCCCGCATGGTGAGAGATTCCACTTCTGCCCGGTTGTTTGAGTCTTGCTTTTTAAATTGTGTAACGTTGTCCCATACATCTCATTGTGGCTGACTCATATTCCCACCTCCCCTAACACCCCTCCAGTGCCTCTCCAACGGCAGGACCCCTGAACATCCTATAGGTCACTTGCAGTCCTCTTGTCCCAGCCTTTCTTAGTGTTTACAAACTTCTCTGTTATGGCCACCAACAGCCATCAGGCCTTAATTGGGGTCTTGCTTGTTTTCCTTCCTTGCTTAGCCTCATTTCTCTCCTATCTAAGGGTCATATCTGATAGTCGTTTCTTAATTAGAATCTTCCAAAATCCCCTAGTGACCCTGGGAAAATCCAAACGTTAAGTAGTATAGTTTAACAAGCACTGTAGGCAGGGCCCCTCCTCTCTCTGCTATGCCAAGGACCTCCCCTCCTGTCACCTCCTCTCTCCTCAGCTGCACCAAGTCTCTCCTCTTCTCTTCCTCCCCTGCCATCCTCTCTGTAGATGTCTCTCCCTGACCCCATCCCTCAACCATATTGTAAATGTGTGAGTTGAACAATAAAGTGTTGATATTCTGAAGTATGAACATATCATATAAGTCCATTTTGGGGACTAAAAGCTAACAAAGTTACAGAGCTCCCCAGACAGTTCACAAAGTATAAATGATTAAGAGAAGAAATGTTGATTCTCAAAGAAATTCAAAGACATTTTTACACCAAATGACCAGAATGTTTTTTTTAAAAAAAAATGTTGTTTGAGAATTTCATTCATGAATATAATGCATTTTGATCATTATCAATCTCTAACCCCCTTTGGCTCCCCTCCAGTTCCTCCCCCATCCCACCTCCACTTTTCCTTTTTAACTTCATATGCCTCCCCCGACCCACTGAATCCATCTGTGTTCTCATGGGTGCAGGGCTTGGGTAGCCTCTCAGCTCACATGCCGAAAAAAAAAAAAACTGACTTTCTGTCATCAGCTGCCAATAACTCCTTGACTAGGGGTGGAATGAACCCCTGCCCCATCTGTGCTAGCTTGAGCATGTACAGCAGTGGTTCTCAACCTGTGGGCCTTCACCCTTTTGGGGGGCAAATCACCCTTTCACAGGGGTCACCTAAGGCCATCAGAAAACACAGATATTTACATTACAGTTCATAAGAGTAGCAAAGTTACAGTTATGAAGTAGCAGTGAAATAACTTTATGGTTGGGGTCACCACAACATGAGGAGCTGTGTTTAGGGGTCACAGCATTGGGAAGGCTGAGAACCACTGCTCTAAGGGTCTTATGCAGGGTCTCACAGGGTCTTATGCAGGGTACTGTCGTGGCTGCCCAATACTGCCCATTACTGCTGGCTCCTACAGTCTGTCCATAGTCTCTCCTCTGATGGATCCTTGAGTCTTGAGGCTAGACGGTGTGATGTAGCTGTCCCAGTCAGAGCTGCCATTCCAGGGACTCTTGCTTTCCACAGGTTGGTCAGATGTGGGTCGCTATTAATTGCCGCATACTGCAAAGGGCTGAGAGATTTGCTAATCCATGGGTATAAACGTAAGCTCTTATGAGGAGGGGCAGTGTATTACTAAGTCTGTTTAGCAGAATTGCTAATACTGGTCTTTTTCCTAGGTCTTATGACCAAGGCAGTCACTAGTTTGGAGCCCAGTTAATGGCACAAGACCTGAGCTCCATCTTGTGGAGTGGTCTTTAAATCATACCAATTTTTTTTTTAACCAGTAGACTGTGGTAATACTCCTAGTGAGGTGTGGGGAGGGAGTGAAATGACCTAATAGAACACAGAAAGTTTGAGGTGTTAAAAACATTTCTCTGTCCGCAAAATGTTGCTTATCTGTGTTTCTGTCCGCAATACATTGTACATGACATTTGTAAAAATGCATCAAAACATTGAAACATTGTTAAATTTGAACTCAGTAAAGATTATGTAGGAAAAAAAGTCTAACACTGTTGACTAGCCTTAGAATGATACTCATTTGTGGCAAGGGTGAGGGCAAAGAAATAACAAATGACTTATTCATTTCTGGGGGTGTGCTTGCTTCTCCCTTTCACAGAGCAGTGCTGTGGAGACCAGGGAGATGGATCAATGGGTAAGATTGTTTGCTGTGCACGCAGGAGGACCTGAGTTCAAATCCCCAGGACTTATATAAAAAGCAGGGCATGGCTGTATGAGAAACTACAACCCTGACATTGTAGGGGTGGAAACAGGAGGATTGCTGGGGCTTGCTGGCCACCAACCTGAGCTCCGAGTTCAGAGAGAGAATTCTTAAGGGAATAAGGTAGAGAGTATTAGAACAAAATGCCTCCTCTGGTGTCTTCATATGTACAGATGTATGTACCTACATAAACACCTGCACATAACATATCACATATAATACAACACATACAGAGTGCTTTTAGACATGGTAATTCTCCTAGGATTATATCATTAGGAGGGAATCATGAATTAAAGGGGTTTATGAAATTGTCACAACACTGGTAGCAGCATGTGATGGAAAAGGAACGAGGGATTAGAGAGTTGATACATCTGTGTGCCAGCTCCTAGGTGCTTTTGTAAATTTGGGAATGTGTACTAGGTTTGAGAAGTAGCATCAGGCATGTTCCCCAATCCAGGCACCTCTGCAATTCCCAGGTCTCAGCCATACAGACCTGAAACTGGTACCTTTGAAGACTAGTGTGGTGATGTGTTTGGAAAGTTAGATGATAAAAACAGGAGTCAAATGTGTGTCTGGTTTTCTTTTATAAAGGTCACCAAGGAAAGACCTGCCACTATGCAAGAGAATCATGGTCGAGCTTCTCACTGTCTGTCTGTCCTCTCTTTAATTTCCTGCTGACAAGTTCTTTATCAGTTATAAATGATGAAGGTGCTAATGCCTCTGTTTCTAATCCCAAGACTGCAGTACTGATATCCACAACAGAAGTCTATGTGCACTGGGAAGAAGGTGGCAGTTCCTGGGTGGCATGAAGAGGAAAGCAGCCTTGTTAAGTCCCACGGACTGCTTCCATGGATGACTTATCTTACCTGCAGCTTCACCTCTTTCCTTCCGCAGGTTTGAGACCTTCGAGATTAACAGCTTCGAGCAGTTTTGTATCAACTATGCCAATGAAAAGCTCCAGCAACAGTTCAATTCGGTAGGCACAATGTATGACCTAGGTTGCCAGGGCAGGGGACTCACTGTCTCCCTGGCATAACACCCAGGTCACTTCCCTTCTGCGAATGATGTGGTTGGTCCTGCCCTGACTGCCCCCCCTTTTTTGGTGATGCTCCTATTTTGGAATTGGCTCTCATTGCTGGGGTAGGAAATGGGACTCAGGCAGCTGGGTGGAGAGGGTAAATGCTCTCCCTTGATTGACCCACTCCTCTCTGAGCATGAGCTTTTGGGCATTTAAGGTACTGAAAGCCAGATGCAGGACTCCTTGAATTGGCTAGAGTCCAGCAACGCATGTATATTGTAATATTCTAAGACAAGGGTAGCATAGAAATGGGAAATTACCAAACTGAGCTCTGTCCTTTCCACTCATGACTGTGAGTTTTTCTCCATACCTTTCCTGGCAGCTGTCAGCCATCCTTCAAGACAGAGAACCTTACAAGAGCTTGGGAAGATAACTGCCACGCGTGTCCGTCTGTCCGTCTGTAGTGCACTCACCGTGGCCTTTTGTCTCTTGTCTTAGCATGTGTTCAAGCTGGAGCAAGAAGAATACATGAAGGAGCAGATCCCGTGGACCCTGATTGACTTTTATGATAACCAACCTTGTATCGACCTCATAGAAGCAAAGCTGGGTATCCTGGACCTGTTGGACGAAGAGTGTAAGGTAATACTGCTCCTGTTGTCAGTGAGGTCTAGTGTCGGGCAGAGCACTCCTGTGTGATGCAAGGGAGCAAATGAAATCTCGTAGCTGGGATTGAATCTGATTGTCGGGAAGAAGCAGTAGTACCCATCATGGCTGCTAAAAGATAACTTGTTGAATATAACTGGCAGATATTATTATCCTAGTAAATGTATGCTTTTCTTGGCAGAAAGCAGGTGCTATTGTGGTGGTATGGATTTGATATCTCATAGGTCCTAGATGCCCAAGGAAGCAGCCAGCATCTAGATAGGTGTTCCTAGGATGGTCTTTATAGTATTATTAGATGGCTGTGAGTGATGGGAATCCATGGGACAGTGAGAGCCACATTCCTGCTCCCCTCCCAAATTTTATAAACTTCTCATGACATAAAAGAGAACAGCAGGAATGCACCTAACAGGGAGGAGTGTGAGGTGAAGAGATCCGATTTTAATCAGTTATTCAGCTTCCTTGGTTTCCTGCACTATGACCTGATGCAGACGGAACTTGATATTGGCAGTCTCTCCCCATGCAGTGCCTGGCTGGGAAGGGAGCTGAGTGTATAGCAATTCCTTCCTTTGGTGATAGAAGCCTATGTCAGAAGGTATGGAAGCCATATGGCTTAGTCTAGAAAGAGAAGGACCAATTGCTTTGACTTCTGTTCTCCCATAATGTTCTGGAAAAGCACTGAGTGTGGCTGGGTGCTTGGGGAAGGAAGGAAGTGTCCTTTCTAGCATGGTTTCCTGAAGCATTGCTACGGTGCAAAGCCATAGTCCCAGCACTCGGGAAATTGAGGTAAAAGAGGATCACTCTAGTGTGTTGTAATAAGGCCGCTTGTTGGTTCCCAACTGCTCAGCCCCAAAATAATCACACAGACACTATATTATTTTAAACTGCTTGGCCCATTAGCTCTAGCTTCTTATCGGCTTAACTCTTACATATTAATTTAACCCATCTCCATTAATCTGTGCATCACCATGTGGCTGTGGCTTACCAGCTAAAGTTCTGGCATCTGTCTCCAGCAGGGCTACATGGCTTCTCTCTCTGACTCTGCCTCCTTTCTCCCAGCCTACAGCTTAGCTTTCCCCACCTAGTTCTGTTCTGCCCTGCTATAGATCCAAAGCAGTCCTTTATTAACCTGTGGTATTCACAGCATACAGAGGGGAATCCCACATCACTAGCCTAAGACTAGCCTAGATTTAAAAGTGAGTTCAAGGCTAACTTGTGCTAACTACTGAGATCCTGTCTCAACACCTCTCCCCACCCTTCTAAAAAAGTAGAAAACATACCAAATCCTGTAGCTGGCACATTCATATCAATTTTGGGGGTGACAGTGAGGAATTGAGGGACAGAATCTCACTCTGTAGCCCAGAATGGCCTAGAACCCTCTATAGCTGGACTGACCTCCAGCCTCCTGATGACCTTCCTCCCTCATCCTCCCCAGTGCTTATATGACAAGCACACACCACCACACCTGGCTCTTCCAGTGTTTTCAGCATTGCTGTGCATACATGGGCTTTAGCTTCAAAGTCGGTGCCTGGGACAGGTGATTCCACGTGTCCATGGCTTATCTAGGCTTGCCCAGCCTGCAAAGTTGCAGTCAAAGAGAATGAAATAGCTGTCTTTGGATTGAGTGCTTCTGGCCAAAGTGGTAGACCAGGCTCTTCTATTTGCCTCCTGCTGGGAGCTCCCTCCTAAATTTAAATCAGCTCAACTGGAACCGTGCTTCCTTCCCCTGGGCCCTTGATTCCTATCAGCAGCCATCTCCCGCAGCTGCAAGCTCCTAAACCAAAGGCAGCTTCAGGTTCTGAGTCCAGCTCAGGTCTCTGGATAGCTGGGCCTGGGTAGCCCCTCTTCCCTGGCTCTAATCAGACTATAGCTCTTCACTCCCCTTAGGTTGGGGAAGAGGAGAGTCATGCCCTCTTGAGGGACCATAGCGGATGTCCTGGTCTACACAGGTCTGTCTGACCCTGTGTGAAGATGTAGCGCATCACAGACCAGGAAGCAAGGCCTTTTATAGTCCATTAACTCGCAGAAATACCTCGGTGCTTTAGGACAATGTGTCCTGGGACCCATGGTTCACAATGGGTTGCACTTCCCTGCACCGGCAAACCAAAGCTGACTGTGGGTTTCTTTGGCTGTGTGGTCTGAAGATTGTAGAGGCTACCATCATCCAAGGAAACAGGATGTCCAGCACTGGTCCCAAGAGTAGGACACAAGCCCCTGAGGGAATCCCAGAGCAACGCTAGGCAGGGAATCGGTGGCTTCAGGACAGCGTGACAGCACACAGCAGGTAATGGTCACGGAGAACACAGACAGAAGCCAACCACGTTCAGCAGTTGACAAAATAACCCCAAGAGCTCCTGTCCAGACCAGAAGCCCTCCTAGGTCCTCCTGCTCTGTTTCACTTGGAGTACACATGTCCTGGGGTACTCCTCTTGGAATCTACTTATGAGAAGTTGTATAAAAGCAAAACTGTTTCAATAGTTGCCACAAACTGAGACATAGAATATGATGAGCATGGACCCCATGCTGCATTTTTAGAGCAAAGGCTTCAGAAGCAACAGGACAGTGTTGGCAGTGGAGGCAGTGGGGCAGCGGGGACAGCAGGGGTAGTGGGAGCAGCAGGGACAGCGGGGACAGTGGGGGTAGTGGGGAGGGCATGGACAGTGGGGACATAGGGCAGCAGGGACAGCAGGGGTAGTGGGGGTAGCGTGGACAGTGGGGACACAGGGCAGCAGGGACAGCAGGGGTAGTGGGGGCAGCAGGGACAGCGGGGACAGCAGGGGTAGTGGGGGCAGCAGGGCAGTGGAGCAGCAGGGACAGCAGGGATAGTGGGGGCAGCACAGACAGTGGGGACACAGGGCAGCAGGAACAGCGGGGCAGTGGGGATAGGGCAGGGGGAAGGCAGTGGGAGCAGCGGGGGCAGAGGGGACAGTGGGAGACAGGGCCCAGGGCAAGGCAGGGGGCAGAGCCTGCGTTTGAAGTCTGGGTCCCACAGCAGGCAGAGAGCGACATAAGCTGGGGTAGTGGAGACTTAACTGAGCCACAGAGATGCTTCAGACAGATCCTGGGCCGTGTGGCTGCTATTTCCACACGAGGCCTCCTGATCCTGATAAGGGAAGGTTTGCTGAAAGCCCTAGTCTCCCACTTACCAAGCTAGTGGGGACTTAGACAGGCAGTGCCGGTGACTTCCTAGAAGATCTCCTTCCTAGGGCAGAAGGTGAGTAGGTGCAGAGAAATTTCTGAATATTCAAGTAGGAATTCCTTTTTAATCTTTTTAAAAATTTGTATGTGTGTGAGTGTGAGTGTGTATATGTTGCGGGTTGCACATCAGACCCGTAGGCAAGGCCAGTTCTTTTCCAGGGAGCTAGCTACATCTTCTCCCCCTATAGTAGTTTTTAATTTCCTGCCTGGCAGCCTGGATTTTCTGTGAAAAAGACAAACAGGCCTCTGCAGTGAGTCCCCAGCTGGTAGAGGGTGGGGGTGGCAGCAGCTTCTATGAATAGGAAGGAAGGTAACTTAGGTGCAGGTGTGTTTGCTGAGGTCAAGGACCAGAAAGGAATGGAGGAGTTGCCTGGCCAACACCCTGCTTAGGGCTGGGAGCAAAGTCTGGAGTCACAGAAGGGATTCTCAGGTCGCAGGGACACTGGGTCACTGTCACTCCAAACCCCACATGTGGCAGGCCGTGGTGAAGTGACATCCCTGGGGGAGGGGAAGTAGGGCATGGGGCATGACTAGATCTGGCAGTCACGTGGCTGATCACATGGGTGTTTGCTGAGGGTGGCGGGGTGAAGGCCCGGTTAGCAGTGCAGTGTAGTCAGGTGCAGGAGAAGCAACCACCTCCCTAGTGAACTGTGGGACCATTGAGTCCTGGGTCCAGCTGGGTTCTGTGGCAGTGAGGGCATAGAAGTATTCTACAGGGCTGGGCATAGTGACACACACTCCTTTAGTCCCAGCACTCAGGAGGCAGGGTCAGTTCAAGACAGAAATGAGGAGGAGGTAGCAGTGATACTTCTTTAGGACAGAGGGCCTGGGGAGGTTTCAGTGCAGGGTGACTTGAGAGTTTATGGGGGACTGTGTGAGGGCACAAGAGGCATAAGGTGAAACAAGACAGCATATAAGCACCCCAGAAAGCCATCATTGTAGCAGTGGCCCAGGAGCACCGGGACAAAAGCAGAGGTATTTAAATGGTCAAGGAGCCCTTAGCTGTCACCTCTGGTCTGCTGTTCTTTTGGGGGCAGGCTTGACCCTAGGTGACGTCCCAAGCAGGGGCAATGTTTGTGGTGAAATAATCCTTATTCAAGGACATTAGAAAAAGGTTTCCATTCCCTAACACTGCCTCCTTTTTTTAAAAATGCTACTTAATAGCATAGAGTAAAGTGCTTTTAAGAGCTTTATTGAGATGTAACACACAGTGTGAACCTTTGAAGCATCCAGCTCAATGCATTCGGTGCATTCAGCGTTGCAGACCAACACTTCCCCTGGCATCAAAACACCTGCTCTACCCTGCCGTGAAAGCATCAGCACCGGCCCGTTGTCTCACCAGTCACCTCAGCTGTCTCCACTCCTCTTCTGGATGGGTTGTGAGCTCCCAATAAGTGAAAGCCGGCACCACAGGCCAGAGGGTTTAGGCGTCTGAGGGATGGAGCTGGGCCCAGGCTTTGGTCCAGTGTTCTCCATGATGCTTCAAGAGGGGTGTAAGGAACCCTGCATGCAACCATATATGGATTTGGTCTTAAAGAATTTGGTCCCCCATACATTCTAGAGCTAATGATAGCCGTAACCCAAGCTGTGTTCAAATACAAGATTTTCTCTATCCCACGGCTGATTAAATTTTATTTGTGTGAAAATATGTTTGGAGATAAGTGCTTTTTCACCTGAGCCTGCATTCATGGTTGTCTTAGACACTGTTGCCAGGCCAGGAAGCAGAGGAGTGAAGGACACACATCCCAGAGCCAGCCTTCCCTGGCTTCCACCCCCGGCCTGCTACTGTGTCTTGGACAAGTTATCTAAACTTCTGTCTCAAGTTCCTTATCTCTGAGGTGTGTATAAGCACAATAGCTAGCTCATAGGGTGATAGGGAAATAACTGAGTTGATATAGTGAAGATGTGTTGAAACTATGGCCAGTAAGCACTGTGGACATTGGCTATTGCTGCAATGAGACTCTTAATTGGGAATCCCTACTGGCTGATCTTAGTTGGAAGTGAATGGGGAGTTACAGGAGAGGTCGATCATAGTCAGAAAATATGTATACACATCACTTTGGTCAGTCTCCTCTGACTGTTCAAGTCCATCTAAGCAGTGACTATATAGGATCATAGGATTTTCTCATTGAAGTCCAAGTGCATTTTCAAGGCAAGGTGATTTGGTTGCTAGCAGACTGCAGCATTTGCTTAGTGGAGCTTCTCTGTGTAGCTCTGTCTGACCCAGTTGGACCAGTCCCTTGAGGTCCTTTTTGCTCCCAGGCGCTGGTCTGCCTGGTCCTGACAAGCCCCACTATCTGCTGACTCCTCCTTCACCCACACCTGGAAGTTCTAAAACAGAACTCTTGGAGACAAATATAAAGGAGTATATATAGAAAGTGCTGAATTAAATGTATTTTATTGTCTGCCCAACACAATTAATAGCCTCCTCCTTCAAGAAAGAGGTTTCTTTCTTTGAATTTCCGATGGCACATGGCACAGAGGATTCAAAACTAGTTACACCAAATTGAATCTGGAGGATAATCAGTTTGCTTGCCAAGGACCTAAGAAGTTTGTTTCCACATCTGTAAGCATTTTCCTTTTGGAGCACATCTTATTAACTGAGCAAAGCCCTCTTTAAATTACCAGTGGAAGGGTCAGGTCCAATCTGACCTTATCTGAAAGCATGACACAAATTCCTGAAGGAGAGACAGTGGGGACCTGTAACTGAGAGCCGTCAGTAGGAGCGGAGGACACCAGAGCAAGTGATGTCTCACTGGATAAGTCGCTGCCGTCATGTTTGAACTGCAGGCACGCTGACTGTGCCTGACTGTGCGTGTTCCTTCCCGCCCCATTTTTCTCTGCTATCATTCCCACACTCTGTCTCTCCAAAACCCTTCTACTTCTATCGGGTCCCTCCTACTTCGGTGCCTTTGTTTTGGGTGTTTGTTTGTTTTATTCCAGTGCATCCAGTGCCGCTTGTATGTGTGAGTGTGTATGTGGGGGCCGGGGTGTTATTTAACTGGACCAGTGGCTTTACCACTGAAGAAAATGACTCCTTTGGCTGCCTGTAGAATGATGATGAGAGGCGGAGCCCTGTGAGTACCTCCCCTAAACATGCTAATGGGACCAATCTTGTGCAGGTAACTTCGGTGAGCTCATGACTGCAGTGGCCATGTCATGCCAATAACTCACGGCACATCTCCAAGAGTTCTGGAACTTATCTCCACCAAACATCCAGGATGTTTCCTGAGTGTGCACACGCCCAGCTCCACCCCCGTGTTTGCATTTGTGTGTGTGTATGTGTGTATGTGTGTGTGTGTGTGAGAGAGAGAGAGACAGAGACAGAGAGAGAGAGAGACAGAGACAGACAGAGAGAGAGAGAGAGAGAGAGAGAGAGAGAGAGAGAGAGATGTCCTACTTATTCTCCACTGACACTTAACTCTCCACACTTGGACCAGTTGTGACTCCATGAGCTACCGCAAAAAGAAGCGTCTCTGATGGAGGCTGAGAGCAGAGCAGTCAGCAGTCTGTTGAAGCCTCAATGAAGCAAGTTGCATGTTTACTTCGGAAGCCATCTGTAGAGAGGCAGAAACAAGCTGTCCCTGAGGGTTTGTCTCATGGTGACACCTCTAAGTCTAGATCTACGTTTGGGGGACAGGGAACAAGTAAAGCATCACACAGGGTGTGACCAGTCCTGTTCTCAGTCCTTTGATGTGTGGGAAAAGATCTAAGACAGTCGGCTGATTCTATGGATTCATAGTATGTCCTAAGAGTATCCAGAAACTAATGGTGAGCTGTAATAGTATGCCTGTGTTTGTAAGTTCAGTTGTTAGGGTTTCCAAAGAAGAAAGACACAAAACCAAAGAATGGCCAGAAAAGGCTTCTGAAGAGAGGGCAACAAGCTGAGTCAGGACAGTAGTATGGATGAGCTAGGGCCAGGAGTATAGACTAGTTATGCCGGTCTTCTGAGTGAGCAGGAGCTTGGTGCTGAAGGGAATGGGTGTGCTACTGCAAGAAGGAGCATCTTCAGACAGCTCCACAGATGGGATTCTGCCCCTCAGTGTCCGTCTTCATCCTCCCCTTGGACTTCCCTTTCTGCTGGCTAGCTTGTTCTTTGAGGCTCGATACCCTCCTCCAGATGCTGGCTTACACAAGACAGGTCAATGACCTTTCATAGCGGGATCCCAAGAGTTTGCTGTTGAGTTGTTCATACCACAGTCAGTTAGTATCCTGGCTTGAGAGCTGAATCCAGGCTCCAACCCACCGCCATGTTGTTCTGCTGCCTTGTCCTGCTTCATGTGGCACTGTATCCAGTTTTGTGCTTCTCCAGGTCCCCAAAGGAACTGACCAGAACTGGGCCCAGAAGCTCTATGAACGGCACTCCAGCAGCCAGCACTTCCAGAAACCACGCATGTCCAACACAGCCTTCATTGTCGTCCACTTCGCAGACAAGGTATCTGCCCTCCTGGTTGACCTAGGACACCTTAGGCCCACAGTAGGAGAAATAAAGGGTTTCCAGGCTAAGGAAGTGGTCCTTGTGAGTTCCAGTGGCCTGGGGTTGTAGGTAGATTCTCCTCTGACTTTCTTCCCCATCCTGCCCTGGCCCAAACTCTGGTATACCAGACTGTCAAGATGAGGCTCAAGATGAGCATATGCTAGCACAGTTGCTGTTCGGTCACATGCACAGCAGGTAGTAATTGAGGGCTGCTCTCCTGGGAGGACGGCAGCAGTGGAGCAGTTAGGAGTCTGCTGTCATTGAGCCTGAGAAGAGGGAGGGTCAAGACAACGTACTTACACCATTTGCGTTCCTTCTGGAGTCGCCGAACTGATCCCAGTGATGGGGATAGACACTGAACTGCTAAATGGATTTTGACTGAATTCTTAGGTGGTAATGTGCATGTAATTGCATATCCTGATTCAATGCATCTAGACTGCTGGCTGAGAAGCTGTGTTCATGGAGCCCCAATGAAGTTTTTCTTAAGGGAATTCCCTTTTAAAACAGCATTTTCTTCTGCCAAATGAGTACTCAGTTGCCTCTGTGTAAATCTCAGCCTATCAGATTTGCATTTTAAGCAGGGACATCTGTGGGTCTCCATCTACTCTTAGTTCTTTTAGAAAATGTTGCTAGATGAGATGAAATTACTTAAGAAGCTGCCAGGGCTCCTGACACACTAACGGATTTCCCTTTCATTGCCATGGCCTCAGGTGGAGTACCTTTCCGATGGCTTTCTGGAGAAAAATAGGGATACGGTCTATGAAGAACAGATCAACATCCTGAAAGCCAGCAAGGTAAGCAACACTGGGAACAGGGCTGGCAAGGTGACTCCATGGGGGAATGCTTACTTGCTTGTGTTAGAATACTTGTATAGGGCCCTGGGTTCAATCCCCAGCACCATAAAAATAGAAATATGGGAACTGGGTGTAGTCATGTATGCCTGTTATTCTAGCACACTGGAGGAAGAGGCAGAAGGATCACTGCAAGTTAAAGACCAGCCTGATTTACATAGCAAATTCTAGTTGGGCCTAAAGACTGAAGAAAAAAAAAACATATAAACCAACAGATCTGGAATGGGGTATGCTGTTGAGTCCCACTGTGGAATACAGGAAGGTAGCAATATGGGGTTTGTTGGTTACATCTGGTGGAGCAGAAAAGCAGGAAGAAGGCATCTCTCTATTCCAAGAGAGGAAGCTAGGAAAGACACCCCACATGAAGCACAGGGGAAGTATAAGATGTTTGACAACCAGGAGGAGGCATAGGAGTAAGCTGTGGCAAATCTTCCTTCCCTGCTCACATACATAAAACGATTTGAACCCCTTCAAGGCTATTGTTTGTGTACTCTGTTTCTATTCAGAACCTAGTGTTTGTGTGCCTCGTTTCTATTTGGCCATCTGAAGGGCAAATGCTGAATGTAATTATATTCATCAGGGTTCCCTAGAGAAACAGGACTGATGGAATGAATATCTGTAATATTTTATTATCATGGCTTACATGACTATTCTGACAATGACTGTCTCCCAAGAGAAAGTCCAAGAACCCAACAGTTGTTTGGTACATGACGCTGGATGTCTCAGCTGGTGTTCAGTATATGTTGGAATCCCAAAGAAGTAGGCTCAAATACTAGTGAAGGAATAGGTTTTCCATTGAGGGCATGCAGACAAAGAGCAAGAGCTTCCTTCTGCTGTGTCCTTTATATAGGCTGCCACCAGAAGCTGTGGCCCTGATTTAAGGTGGATCTTCCTGTGTCAAATCAAGAAAACCCTTCACAGGTGTGCTAGAGCCTAAGTTTTTGTTAATTCCAGATGTAGTCAAGTTGACAGCCAAGAACAGCCATCACAGTAATAAAATATGAGCTTCCAAGGACATATAAATCTACTTTGGAATATTTATTATCTTCAAAATTCATCTGATTCTTTCTCATGAGCATAGCAAAGAAATGCAGATAGGGTGACAATCTGTACCCCTCACTACACACATTTAAGAACTGGCCTGTGAGACACCAGCCCAAACCCACTGTTTGTTTGCAGAGATGAGCAAAGCTCTTACTGTCCCTGGATGAGCTGATAAAGATCTGCACAGGAAATATGGAGGGAACAGAGACTCAGCGAGAGTCTGCAGCCAGGAGAGGCTGAGATCACGTGAAAGCAAAGCGTGCCTGGGAGTGCCTGCAGCCAGGAAAGGCCAGTACACCTGTATTCTAACGGCTGCCAGCCTCAGCCTTTCGTGGACCCAGGACGACTCTGCAGGACATAGGAGCCTTTCTCCCAGACCATATGGCACCTAACTCCCTGCAGGGCCCTGATAACACGGGAGAAATGACAGAGTAATTTCTCCTTACTGTAGGCTTTAGAACTGTGAATGCGGTAGAGAGGAATGATAGAATGGCGGAAGCACAGTCGGTAGCAGTGACCCAGGTGCTTAGAGCCAGGTGAACCCTCTTCCATCAGGGGCCTCAGGTGGGATTTAGGGAGGTTTGCATCAAAGCAGCCCATGTTTGTTGTCATCACATCAGGGAACAAACACAGAGACAGTTGGTTTGGTGCAAACGTGCATAGTGTGTTGGAGTTTGATGTCAGATTAATGCATTAGTTCTCAGGTCCGGGGCAGTTAGCTGGAAGTTCTCCGTTTTTGACGAGAATGGGCATGGGGTACAGTAAAGTACCCTCTAGTCACAATTAGAGAGAATGGTTTGTGTGCCACTCCTAGCCCATGTTGCCCGGGATTCTCAGAGGTGGCCTTCAGGCATGCGAGCCTCTGCCATCTTTATGTAAGTTCCTCCTTTGGGGGAAGAACATAAATGATGACTCAAATGCAATTTAGTTCTGCTACTGTTTTGATTTTGAGTGTCTTACTCTGAGGAATTTGGGAATGTTATAACCTAAATGTGACTATTACTGATAAGAAAAACTGCCTGGCAAGGCAAGTATTATTATTAACTAAGAAGTTTCTGCCATTTAATTTTATTTACCAGCTTCATTGAATAATTATGTATATAGACGCATCTAGACAATCTCTGGGATCTTAGTCCAGTGAAAAAATGCAGTTAGTCATACATGCAAAATGCAGAAAGATATGTGTGATGTGAGGCAGGTGTGTGAAGGTCGAGAAGAAAGTCTACAGAATAGAGTCTGTTGGAGACCTTGGTGTCAGCAGTTTACTAGGGAGACCTGCAGAAGTTGGACATGGTTGTACTTAGGGTGACAATTATTGCAGCATAAGAAGCCAAAGCAAACTCAGCAAAGAGCAGGGGTGGGGGGAATGTCTGAGAGACAGCAGGTGCAAGCTTCCAAAACTCTTCTCCCAGTGAACTCACACAGGGTGTGCTGAGTTCCTCCAGAGAAGCAAGCGCAGCCATACTTTACTTAACAGAATGATTACCAATGGGTATTTACACAGGCACCCTTGGTCTAGTAAGAGCTAAACTTCTAGGCTCCCAGGAGAAAGGCAGATACTCTCCAATGAATGATATGAATGATATCATTTGCACAGTCAACTTCAGAATAGTGAGCCGGTCATATCAGGGAGTGGTGAAAACTCCCCCGAAATCCAAGTTGCCAGAAAAACAGGCCATGGGAAGAATGGCGCCCTTGCTCTTTTCTGCATATGATACTGTTTTAGGTTAAACATGCTGGATTTTTATTAGAAATTTAGTCATAAAAATTCCGGTATCACAAAGTTATACACAAGCCCCTTCTCCTAGACCATGAGCCATCTTCCAGTGAATGTCTAGTCTGCGTTATAGCACACTGGTACATCCTTTTAAGGGTGAGATAATCACGTGCGTACATGCGTGCTTAGTCCCCTCTGATTTGTACACATCAATGTATCATGGCCATCCTAGCACATGCGTACACAGCCGCTTTTCTTTCTTAAATAACCCTTGGTAGCTTGCTATTATTTCACAAGTAGAATTGTGAAATCAGTGGGTTTGTGCAAGAGTTGTAGAGTTATTAAGTTGAAGGGCAAAAAGTCTGCGCTGTGTGTTTAGAAAGTGATAGACTCCCTTGTTTTGCCCCAACCCAACCACCACACTTCTAGCTTTCTCTTCCGCCAATCCCATGACCATGTTGCCTCCCCTCCACCCCCAATGGGAAACAACAGGTGAGCCTCCACAGATGCAGCCGCAGAGCAAAGAGAGGCCCTGTGCTCTCGGGCTCTGCCTGGTGCCCGGCACACCTGTCGTCGTGAATATTTACACAACCCTCTTTACTAAGCCGCTTTCATGTTTTCAATGTCGCTGGAGTAGCAGTCCTCTGAGACTTGGGTTTCAAACGCATGCCAAAAATAGAATAATAAAGAGCTAAAAAACATTTAAGACCCTAGGACATCAATTGAATCATGTAACACCTATTTTTTAAAGATAAATTTTAATCTCTAAACACAGCTAATTCTCGAGTTGTCTTATAAATTCATAATTTTATTTCAAGCACGTGTATTTTATGAGAAACTATTGGCTTTTATCCTCTAGCTGATAAGAAATTATCACCTCGTCGAGAGTAATTAGGTGGTGTGAAATAGAGGACTCCCACCTGCCCCCAGGAGGGGGACCCTCTCAGAGCTCACACTGGTAGGAATAAGGCAAAGCAGTGCTAATGATAGTGTGATTAGGGAAGCCTGTTATGCTGTGAACAGGTAGAATGGAGCTAATTGCCTTCTCGGCTATTAGGGAGCTATAAATAGGGACAAATGCCTCTATAAACCCTGCATTAACACATTCGGTTCCTTTCAATACTAGAATAGCAAGTTTCTCCTCCCAACTTTTATGCTTAAGAGAAGGAATGTCTTAGTGTATGGGGAGACCAGGGGAGTAATCCTAAGAAGGACAGTGTTTTTCCTCTGGAGATGTTCTCTTACTGCTGTGCATAGGTCAGAGGGACAACTGTTGAGTTGGAAATTTGTGTTAGTGTGAGTCAGGCAACCTGACTCAAGTGGACACGAGTGATAGCATCTCTCCATTACATGTCATCAGAGAAGTGACCTCAAGAACGGTACGGTTCAGAGAGTCTGTCCAAAGCACCTACCCTGAGCCTGGCGGTCCCTGGGTCCAGGCATAACAGAGAAGGCCCTTAGACTGAGCTCCAGTACTACCCTTGAAACAAATGTTTGTGCCTTAGGGTTCTCCTGGGGGGGAACCAGTAAAGTGTGTGTGTGTGTGTGTGTGTGTGTGTGTGTGAGAGAGAGAGAGAGAGAGAGAGAGAGAGAGAGAGAGAGAGAGGGTTTTCTCACTCTTAAGAGGTGAAAACCTGGTAGATGATCAGTGTTGAGGCTGGAGCCTCAGCAGTTGGAGGGGTCCCACAGTGACTCTCGCACCAGGGAGGTCAAGAACCCAGTTGACACTTAGTCCACAAGGTCAGGTACCTCAGAAGTCTCAATCTGGGGCCACAGCCCTGAGAGGTTCCTACCACTAGCCCTTAGTCAGTGATGGACCCTAGTTCCGAAATCAGCCACAGCAACAGGGAAGATCTACTTAGTGACAGGAGGCAGCGCCAAGGGAGCAAAAGGCCCTTTTTATCGGGACTGCTACCAGAAGGTGCTGCCCACATTTGGGGTGCATCCTCACCATCCTCACACATTTGGAGTGCACCTGCCCGCATCAGTTGAGGCGGTCAGAACAATTTCCCTGTCCAAGTGATTCAAATCTGTGGCAAGGTGACATTAAAACCCACCGCCACCGTTTGCTTCTAAAATTCGTTACTGTCATGTGTAAACCTGTATCGTGCTCTATTGAGACAGGGCACTATGACATATGTGCTCCTCGGGATGCTCGGGATCCTCTACCCCAGCTGTTGGA